CACACATACAAGGCAAGTGCTCTGCCACTGAGCTGTGGCCCCAGCCCAGTTATTTTTATTTTTAAAATTAATTTCTTGTGGGTGTACATGATGGTGGGAGTCACTGTGGTGCATTCATACACGTCCATGGGAAAGCTAGGGCAGAGTCGTTCACTGTCTTTTCTTTTGCTATCCCTCCTTCCTTTCCTTCACTCCTCGTTTGTTTAATTCACTGAATTTCTGCCCCCCATTCCCTTATTGTGATTTAGCTTCCACGTATCAGAGGAAACATTTGACCTTTGGTTTTTTGGGACTGACTTATTTCACCCGGCATGGTAGTCTCCAGATCCATCCATTTACCAGCACCTGTCATAAAGTGGTTCTTCTTTATGGCTGAGTAGTACTCCATTGTGCACACATACCACATTTTCTTCAGACCTGGGTTTTATTGGGCTCAAGTCAATGTGTCAGCCAGATCATGTTCCCTTTGGAGACTTTGTGGGAGAACCCCTATCCTTGCCTTTTCTGGATTCTAAAAACTACCCACTCATGGCTGAAGGATATGGACAGTAGACCCCAGGGAACTTCCCTTACCTACAGCTCTTTCCCTGCCTGCCCTCCTGCCCTGCCCTAAATGAGCCCACCACCAATATTCCTCCTCTGTCCTGGCTCTGCTGACCCTATAAGAACCAGACCTTTGTTGTAGGTCATCATCATTTTCCCTCTTGAAACTGTGCCCCTCCACACTGATCCATGGATCTGTCTCCCTCCCTCCCCCTTCCTTCCTTCCTTCCCTCCCTCCTTCTCTCTCTTCCTTCCTTCCTTCCTTCCTTCCTTCCTTCCTTCCTTCCTTCCTTCCTTCATTTCTTTCTTTCATTTGCTTTCAATGGCCAATCTCCATTTTCAAAGCAATCACATCACTTTGACCTCTGCTTCTAACCTCACGTATCTATCTTTCTTCTCTCCTCCTCCTCCTCCTCCTCCTCCTCCTCCCCTTTTTCCTCCTCCTCTCCTCCTTCCCTTGTCCCCTCCTCCTCCCCTCCTCCTCTCCTCCCTTCCTCCACCTCCTCCTCCTCCTTTAGACAGGGTCTCATTGTTACCCGGCTTGCTTCAAACTCTCAGACTCAAGTGATCTTCCTGCCCCAGCCTTCTAAAAGCCTGAATTTCACATGCCATCATGCGTGGCTTCTCTTCTACTTTTAAGAGCTCTTGTAATTACCTCGGGCCCACCAGAATAATTCTGGATAATCAGCCTCATGTAAAGTCACTTGATTAACCACATAAATTCTATCTGTACCCTTCATTTCCTTTTGCCATTTGGGGTGACATAGTTTCTGGGGATTAGGACATGGACATCTTTGTGACAGGGGTGAGGGGCACTCTTCTGTCTACCACACCAGGCTCTGTGGCTTTGACAGAGCATGCTGAGATTTGCTTTCTGTGAAGATGATCTGGATAGAGTATGGAAGGTGTTCTAGAATAGGCAAGGGTGCTAGCAGGAGGACAAGACAGGTTTTACTTTAAAAAAAAAAACAGCAAAGGAACAAGTGTCCACAGGATCACTCTGTTTTGTATCTTGTATATGAGATGAAGATAGTTAATAAATAAAAACTGAATGGCCAAGAGAGTCCAATGCATTGAGAATCAGAGACTAATAATTCTCTCAAGATACTGAAGCTGCAAATTATTTTATCTCCTGGTACAAAACAAAGAGTCCTCAAACCCCAAACACACACACACACACACACACACACACACACACACACACACACACACACCCCTTTTCTAAATAGCTATAATTAAATAAAAGCTGTGATGAATCTGTAGTAATAGTTTTCACATGTGTGAAGGGTTTAGATAACACACGTTGACAGACCAGACTCACCCAGGACTCACTGCAAACCAAACAAGAGAGTCCCAGAGAGCTAGACTCTGTCTCTGAGCCCTCTCAGAACAGATTCCTCAAGACCTGCTGCTTGCAGAGGTCCTCCTTCCATTGCCCTGAGGTCAGAGTGTGTTGGGCTGTCCCTGGTTCCTCTGGAGCAAACTGTCCACTTGAGCAAGTCTCCTGCAGAGGATCTGGGCACAGGGGCCTGAGAGGCTGCCCTCACAACTCACTTCCAGTGGATGCTACAGAGAGCTTCTAAGGACCGTTGTGTTTATTTTACTTTGTTTTGTGGTGCTGGAGATTGAACCCAGTGCCTTGTGCATGGTAGGCAAGCGCTCTGCCACTGAGCTACGCCCCCACCCCTGATGGCTGGGTTTGGAATACCAAACCAAGCAGGGGTGATTCCCTTTAGGAAGGACATGAAGTGGCGTCCAAAGCTCAGCATGAAGTATGTACTTGGGATCACTGGCAGTGTCTAGATGATCCTAAGGAAAGTCTTACAGGATGTACTTTGGATGACTGATGAGGAAACAGAAGAGAGGGAGACTCTGGGGCTGGGAAGCTGCAGAGCCAAGTGACAGAGCTGCAGAGCAGAAATTATTCTATGATGAACCCTAATAAGGGCATGAGCTTTCTAAGC